ACATCATAATGTAAAATCATTTCAATTGAACATGTTTCCATATGTAGAAGACACTTGATGTCATATCTAGATATTATATATCAATAAAGATTTGCATCGATGCACATTCACCTTAAAAAAAAATAAAATAAAATAAAATATTAATAAGAAACTATTAAAAGTTAGAAATCAGCTATTCAAAGATTAATCCAAGAATTATTTAACTCTTATGATACTCCAGATACATATAAAGCTAGAATTCGACCTTTATTACTTAGTATATCAGATGCTAATACATAGGTTTTAGGATTCCTAAAAAATCACTTAACAGGTGAGTTGTATACATAGGTGATGGTACAAAATCCAGCAGGTATTGATGCCTTTTTCATTACACTAAAAAATTTGTGGCTTCAATGATGTCCTAATTTATATGGAAACTTAGTATTCAAACAAAACCCAACAGTTAAAATTTAATTTCCAGTAAATACAATTTCAGCTTTAATTACTTTTGAAGAAGTAGATAGAAAAATTCAAACAGCAGTAGAAAAACAGCAGAACTGGTACGATCAAAAAGGCAAGTCTAAATTATTATAGCTTAGTCAAATAGAGCCTAGTAAAATATATCGGGATCCGAATTTACACTTAAATGATACAAAATATTTAAATATGTCTGATGCATTAGAATGTCTTAATGCTATAGCCAAAGATATATTTTATCTACAAACTCTTATGGATAATATTCGTAAAGAGTATATTCTTGATATATGGAACAATTGTGAACATTACCAACAAGGTGGGAGTTATGACATAGTGGATAATAACACAAATATGGGAATCCAAAACATAAACCATAACACATGTGATATAGAACTTCCAGCTGTTTCTTCAGATAAGTAGTCAAAAAGAGAAAAATCAAGATCTAAACCTGTTCGAATATCTGATCCAGTTAATATTATTAATAAGGCTGGTACAATCAATGATTAGATAAATAAAGTAGGTGGAGATAATGACTTGCAAGCTAAGCTTACACAAAATCACAGAGAAATAGAAGAAGCTAAACGTAAGTTGAAAAGAATCTTAAATTCCAACTAATCTATTTTTGTTTTTTCTAGAGTAGTTTGCAATTCATATAGCATTTCAATATCAGACTCATTTTTATGGGCCCATAGTTTTTTATTAAGCTTAATTAATTCAGTATTGGATTCAAGTACATTATATAGTGATTTTTCCAGTTCTTCATAGCTCATATGTTTTTTTTTAAAGCTGGATTATCAGAATCTAAGCTAAAACCCGCAGAAGCACACCATTTCTCAAATGGTATATTATCATTACCATCCTTATCTGTCTCCTGAGAAATTTGGTCAGATACCAAAGGCTTATCATCCTAAAATATATTTGTGCAGTTTACCTCAAGCTTATTTTTAACCTTATTCATATTAATTGGAATAAAATACTCCTTACCATTGTGACAAATCTTCATATTATCATTATTTCAGTCAATAATGCATTCATATTTCTTAAGGAGTCAGTTTGAAAATATTAGCATTGGCTTGGAATGTTTCACAACTACAAAATTCTTATATATAGTACAACCAGGGGTTAGTGTTATTGGTAGATTATGAACAATGCCAATAGATTCAATTGGAATAGTAGCAATGCTACTAAGGTCTTATTTTACTGATCTATTAATTTTTCCATTTACTTGCTTCACAATATCTTCTGTTATAATCTCAGTTTCAGCTCCACTATCAATATCATTGCTGAAATTTTCAAGTGCTTAATTTTAACTGTAACAGTTGTAACGCTTATAGCTGGTTCTTTTTCTGAACTAAGTCTATCTCCATAGGATTATCTAATATTCTTCTGAATCAGGTATTGCTAAAATTGGATCTCAATAATTTTTGGAGTTTGATACTTGAATAGGTAGAGATATAGTAGATGGATTTTCAACCTGAGCTGGCATGCTAGTGCCAATTTCGAATTTCAATTTTTCTAACCAATGTGCAGATAAAACTTTCTCGAGCATATCTAATATGATCTTTTGAAGAAAAGCCTATTCGATACAAGTTAATTTATTTTGGGACTTATCAAAGCTAGGAGTATCTTTTTGTTTCTTCTCATGAGTTTTGGATATAATGCTCGCAAGTATCCCTATCCTTGTAAAAAGAAGAGTAAGTCAAAAAGCAAATCTAAAAATAAAGGTAAAGTCAATAAGGTTATTATAGATTTAAATTCTGAATCAGGTTCAGATACTAACTCTTCTGATAATGATTCTGATTCTGGAACTAAGTTTGATTCCAATAATATATCCTCTAAGACTAAAAGTATGACTATTAACATTAGTAAAGCAAAAAAAAAGTAAACCAGAAAGCTGACTCAAGTAAATCATCCTTACAAAAATGGAAACCCAAAACTCATGAG